TCTCTCTCTCTCTCTCTCTCTCTCTCTCTCTCTCTCTCTCTCTCTCTCTCACTTTCTCACTCACGCACACGACGACTATACACGCATACGGCACAAACTCTGCCACAAGGTGGCGAAAACAGCACGGAGAATCGTTCATATAAAATTTAATTTCAGACGTATGATTTTTTAATACGACCGTAAGAGACACTTGGACAAAATTATGTATAGAGGTCATAATCACGGTATCAGCTGGTTTCGATACTACAGATGCGAGGTCCATCGAAAATAGGTTCATTTCTGTCCCGCTACCCTTTATGTAATCCATAGGTAATACGCGGCTGTGTGCGTGGCTTTCGCAAAGCACGCAGATATATAGGCGGTGATAGCTCCCGCTATGTAGCGGTTGCTTTTCCATCTCCATCCCGCCGCGGTCGTCCCGTTTTCCGCCCTCAAACTCTAATAGCTTTACAGCTGTGACCGCCCGGTGCTTTCGCTATCGCTGGAAACTTGCACTGTCGTTTGGCCGCAGTACTTTCGCTCGCGGCTCGACCTTGCGGAGATGCTTCCACTATTTCGCGTTGCACGCGAGTGATACCGTTTACTTTGCACGCGTGCGTACACACACGCACACACACACACACACACACATATACAGCCACATTCATTGACACGAAGGATCACGATTTTATTTCAAATTCTAACTTCGATTTATATTCGGACGCGATCTATTGTTTAATTCTTCGTAATTCTCAGTTTAGCTTTCGTTAATTTGTTCGTGAAATTAATATAATATATGCACACTTTAACGTAAATTATACTTAGCGCAATTGGATCTGTATAATTAATGAAGTGTGTTATTTATGCAGATTCTAATAACTAAACTGATTGAATAAATTTCGTGAAAAGACCCTCTCTTTTGAGGGTACTCGTCTCAGTAATTGAACTTTGTTAATGTCCATAATTCTTAGTCTACATTAAATATCGCGAACTTTAGTCTTTAAAGGTCGCGAATCTCGACATACCGATAGTGCGCGCATAAATTCTGGATAGTAGCTTATTATTCTTTGTTCAAAACGATAGCCTCGTACAAAAACAAGAATTATGGAATAAAGATAAATTTAAATTTTTAAACATTCGTCTTTTCCGTAAACCGAATTAAGAGAAAAGTAATTGTGAGATAAAAATATTTTAGTTTTACCGAAAGAGACAATGTGACGACTCGATTGTGTGTACGTGTTCCTAATATCTAATATTTATAACAATTGACCGAATATACAACATTTAATTTAATTCTGTTTGCGCACTAAAGAATGGTCGATTTGTGGTAAACCGAAATGATAAGAGCAGTCAAATTTAATTCTTTATTTCTTACTATACGCGTAAAAATAATATGACACCCGTTAGTTCCCAATCCCCGGTTGCACTTTCGTCGAATCGACTATAAGTAGGTGCATGCACAAAATTCAATCTCACCGTCGTCCGCCGTATACAGGGTGATGTAAAAGAATGTATATGATCGTTGGATTTTTATGACTGAATGATTCCGTAATTTTCTTGCAGTGAACACCGATTAGTGACTTTATTAATGACAATTTTGTAACTACTTGAATAATTACGATTTGTCGATTCATGCTCTAAATTAAATGGCACAAGGCATAAGAATGAACGGTATTATTTCTTTAGAAGAAATTTTTTTATCGAACAAAAGAAGAACTTCTAATTCTTAATTCCCCTCCCCCTATCTCCCCCTCTCTCTCTCTCACTAATGATAAAATTTGTAGAATAAGTATATTATAGCACATTATATCATAGTAAATACTTTTTCGGTGAGATTTATAACGGAGGAGAAATGAAATTCCTTCGAGAATAGAATGTAAGCACTGAGGGACACCTTTTTTGGGACACTCCGTATAGTCGTGCCAGAGAACGAGTCGTTTGCGGATTTCTTTCGTGCCGAAGCGCAGAACGCAAATTCTGAGAAGCGCATATAAACCAGCTGCCACTGAGACCCAGAGATTCCACACGCTTGGAATTAATATTAGCTGTGCGTCGCTAACGCAAACGTCGCCGAGAAAAATCGCACTCGCTCGTCGATTTGCGACGTTAAATAATTTCCTATGACATTCCTTCGTATCGATGCAAAGAGTATTGGCATTCTTACACGCTACTGAAAGGACGTTCCTGAATTGCGCTGGATAATTTTAACTTAACAAACTCTTCGGATGTTAAATACACAGAGGCAGCTACAAAAACTTGTACATATGAGAAACGAGACAAAGAAAGTGTTCCATCGAATCTATAAAGATACTGAAACAATGGCGCACACAAATCGCACAAATTTTGTCAAACTTCTATCATCTACGAATTGATTTTTAGAGAATACGAGCACGCATCGTACTGTTTGTCGTACATCGGGACGGAAAAAGAGATAAAACGGTTCGCGCGCCATTTTTGCCACAGCGTAATGCCGAAATTAGCGCGATGCCATCGCGAGAAAGCGGATTAACGCACGAGAAAAGGAACGACGTATCTTCAATGAAAAAATTCGCTTTTCGGAGAGAGAATTCAGACAATCTTCAACTTTCTCATCTTTGTTGCAAACTCGAGTCGAAGAAAATCTGGAATGCTGCTGTTACAGAAAATAATATCACTCTTTAATGAATTAATTATCGATCTCGAGAGCGGGAGCGAGAGCGAGAGACAGAGAGAGAGAGAGAGAGATATTGA